GTTCCGTGCGCCTTGGTGTTTAGTCATGCCGGCCACATGACCACGGAAACGTCTTCGGACAGCGCTGGCTCTTCGGCTTTGAAACGGAGATGAGCACCGCAACCCTAGAGTCGGATTTGACTGGCTTTCGAGCAAGGGAACCTTTACCTTATTCAGGTACAAGCTCTCCCTCTTCTGCGAGGACAGATCTGCATGTGTGTGTCCCCGCCCCCCCAATAGCTAGCAATCCAAAACAGTCCAGTGGAGCCTGAGCAGTGGGTGTTGCCTTCCGACACACTTCTGGTGACGTCAGGGGGTGTGGCATATGCAAATAAGTTATGCTAATGAGTTATGCTAATGAGCTCCTGCACCTCTTTTTCTTCGAAATGACCCCTGAGGGTAGCTAATCTCCAGCTGGAATTACAGCTGGTTTCCACAATACAGAGATTGTTCCCTAGGGATGCCCGCCTCCAGGAGGGACCTGGGGATCCCTTGGAATTACAGCTCATCTCCAGACTGCAGAGATTGGTTCCCCTGGAGAAAGTGGATGCTTTGGAGGGTGGACTCTGTGGCGTTGTACCCCTCTGAGGTCTCTGTGTCCCCCCCAGGATCCACCACCAAATCTACAGGAGTTTCCCAACCCGGATCTGGCAACCCTACGCAATCGTTATCGGTTCCCCTGGAGAAAATGGCTGCTTTGGAGGGTGGAATCTGCAGCATGACAAATGTTCCCTCTAAGCTGTGGAGTCTTGTGAGCAAAAATTCTACTTTGTGAGCTCCTGGTATTAAAGTTGTGAGCAGGCGATTTGGCTACTGCATAAATTAGTTTGCTCTGGAGCCCTCCTCCCTGAGCTGAGACAAAAATGTGAGCCGGAGGCTAAAAAACTGTGAGCTGGCTCACACTAACTCAGCTTAGAGGGAACACTGCACCCCACTCAGGTCACCCCCCTTCCCAAATCCCGCCCTTCCCAGCTCCACCTCCCAAATCTCCAGGAATTCCCCAACCCAAAGTTGGTCACTCTACTTGGAAACCATAGTAATGAAAGAAAATATGCCGTCTTTTAAGTGGCTACTAAAGCCATTCCCTCATTCCCACCTGAACACAGGGATGCCTGCTCAAGACTGGGAAATACCTGGAGATTTGGGAGGTGGGGCTTAAGGAGGATAGGGTTTGGGGAGAGGAGGGACTTCAGTGGGGTATAATGCAATAGAGCCTTCCTCCCAAAGTGGCCTTTTTCTCCAGGTGAACTGATTACTCTCACCTGGAGTTCTGGTCTCGAGAGATCTCCAACCACCACCTGGAGGTCGGGAACCCTACCTGACACCTGAAAGGACCACATGAGCACAAGAGCCTGCCTTATGCTGAATCGGACCATGGGTACATCAAGGTCTGTATTGTCTGCTAGGACTGGCAGCCGCTCTCCAAAGCACAGTCTCAGTCTGAGGTCTTTCATATTTGCATATTAGGCGACACACCCCTTATGTAGCCAATCCTCCAAGAGCTTACAGTAGCCCCTGTAAGAAGAGCTCTGTAAGCTCTTAGAGGATTGGCTACATTTAGGGGTGTGTCACCTAACATGCAAAGGAGTTCCTGCTACAAAAAGAGCCCTGCGTGACCAGCTGATCTTTTTTTAGCTGGAGATGCTGGGGATTGAACCTTCCGCACGCCAAGCAGATGTTCAACCACTGAGCCACAGTCTCTCCCAGACCCCTTGCATAACAACTTGGGTATATCAAATTTTCCTTAACAGTTAAGGAAAGTTAAGAGAGCCAGTTTGGTGTAGTGGTTAAGTGCGCAGACCTCTAATCTGGGAGAACCGGGTTTGATTCCCCAGTCTTCCACTTGCACCTGGCTGGGTGACCTTGGGCAAGCCGTAGCTCTGACAAGAGCTGTTCTTGAAAAAAGAGCAGTTTCTGTCAAGAGCTCTCTCAGCCCCACCCGCCTCACAGGCAGTGTTCCCGCTAAGCTGAGTTAGTGTGAGCCAGCTCACAGTTCTTTAGCCTCTGGCTCAGACATTTTTGTCTTCGCTCAGGAAGGGTGGCTCCAGAGCAAACTAATTTGTGCAGTAGCCAAATCACCTGCTCACAGCTTTAATGCCAATAGCTCAGAGAGTAGGATTTTTGCTCACAGGACTCCACAGCTTACAGGGAACATTGCTCACAGGGTGTCTGTTATGGGGAGGGGAAGGGAAAGGAGTTTGTAAGCTGCTCTGAGACACCTTTGGGTAGTGAAGGGCGGAGTATAAATCCAATCTCTTCTTCTCTTCTTCTTCTTAAGTAAGGCAATCTACATATACGTACACAAACTCACAAATATACATACATACACATGGACACACACACATACATACGTATACATGTGTATATACATGCATATATACATATACATATGTATATCCATGCACATATATACAGTATATGGGAAAGGGTCTTCCCCCCCCCCCCTGACATTAAACATATGGCTGGTGAGCTAACACAGTTAAACTTTGTGTTTTGGTTTCAGAACTCTCTGTTCACCTCAGAATCTTTCCAAGAAACGTATGTACTGACAATGCCAGAAAATTAGCTAATTTTCTTGAGCTGACAAAAAATACATCAGGAAAAGAATAATACCTCATTGTTGGGGGACGACGACTCTCTTTTTACTGATTCCATAAAATGCAGGCTCGGGGGGGGTGGGGTCATAATTTATATTTTATGCCACAGACAGAGGAATTAGTAATAAGGCTTTCTTAAGATGGTTTTTATTCGAAACGGTTACCTCTTGGTAAAGCCATCCAAGCCAGCTGAAGACATGGAAGGCCACTGAAATATTTAACAAACTTTCTAGGAAGGAGCGATTTCACACGAATCCTTTGCTATTCCAGCTGTTAAAGTCTCGTTACAAATGACCGAATATTCCCATCTCCGACAGCTTTGAATTCAAAAAGAAAGAAAGACAAAAAACCCTTGTTGAAATAATCTATTTCTAAATAAGTAATGGGGATGATTAATGAGTGAAATACAGCCGGTCCCAGTGGGAAAGGGGTTCCTAAAAATCCAAACTCAACTGATGTGAGTTATAGCTTGTTTAATGTTTCATTTTCTGGCTTAAGCAACAAGCCTCAAGGGAAGAAAAAAACACATTGCTTTATTTAATTTCTGTTAGAAGTCACATCCAGAAAAGGGGGGGTGGGGGGTGGAATCACAATCAGAAATCACTGAAGCGAGGACAGAAGAGACCTTAACCAGGAATTTAAAGCTGAAATCTTATGCAGAGTTGCATATTACCAGCATTTCACACGTGCCAGGCCCCCACCCCGCAGTCATGTTTTCTAGAAAGGTCAGTTCTGCCTTCTGCGCTCTGTATTCAGGCTGGATCCCGCAAATCTGTTCTGGTAACAGTGGTGCCTTCTTCCAGGACAAGGGACCGTCCCCTGATGCAAGCTGGCCCGGCCCGAACCTAATGCCTAGGGAACATTGGCCACGGTCACACAGGCCGGATATCGCGGGGGGGGGGAGGCGTGGCAAATTGCCCCGGCGCAGTTTGATCCACGATTATGCGATCAGACGCGCTGGCAGCACACCACGGGTCCTTCCCTCGGTGCCGGCACTAGGGTTGCCAAATGTTACTCACCTCTCCGGCGGGGGACTCCTGCGCGGCTCCCGGAGCGCGCGTGCAAAGCGCGCACGCACCGCATGCACGTCACAGGGAAGTGACGTCATGACGCCGGGCACGCTGGGGGCGGGGCCACAACCATACAAGGGAAAACCATAGAGTTTTCCCTTGTATGGCCGTGGCCCCGCCCCCAGCGTGCCCGGCGTCATAACGTCACTTCCCTGTGACATGCACGCTGGGGCGGGGTTCCCCCCGGGGCCCAATTCCCCCGCGTGTGGGAACGGGCCTCTGGGGCGGGGGGATTTCCGCCCCTCGGAGGGATTTGGCAGCCCTAGCCGGCACGTAACCGAGGGGCCGGAGGGGAAAGCCGTGCGCCAGTGCGATCACACCGCAGGCATCCGGAGGCAGCCCGTGGCAAACCGTTCGCCAGTACTTTGGAGGTACTACTTTTTTATTGCGCATTTTAGGCGGTAAGCCACGGGTTGGCCACGGGTGCGCCCCACTTCCCAGATATTGAGGTGTGATCGCGCACGGATAATCCACCCACCACCCGTGGCTCTCCCGCGGCAAATTCGCCGTGTGAACGGGGCCCAAGTAGGTTTGCCTACCTTCAGGTGAGGCATAGATATCTCCTGGAATTTCAACCAATCTGGTACCAAAGCAAGGCTTTAAAAAAAATGCACAGTCAATAAAATCTACAATTAGGGTTGCTAGCTCTGGATTGGGAAATACCTGGAGATTTGGGGGGTCTAGCCTTAGGAGGGTGGGGTTTCGGGAGGGGAGGGACCTCAGCAGGGTACAATGGCACTCTCCCAAGCAGCCACTTTCTCTGTTGCCTGGAGATATGTTACAATTCCAGGAGATCTCCAGGCCCCACCTGGAGGTTGGCAACCCTTATTACAAGTCCAATCAAACCCTCTACCTGGCCCCGTCAACTTTCTAAAGATACTCAATGGGTGCCAGAAAAGGCATTGGTGGGCACCATGTTGGAGACTCCAAGCGGCAAGAGCCACTTGCACCGTACACTGAGGGAAGCCACCAGTGTTGGTGGAACCCTTCAGTGGGATCCAGCCTTTCCTTTATTTTACAGCCACTTTTCTTCTGTTCTCGCCACAGGCTGAAATAATTGTATACCACCCCCTGAACTGCATAAATGGTATATTAAAACTAAGTCCCATATTTTAACAAGCTAAGTCGCATACTCTAAGTGGGACATCAAAAGTGAGCAGGTTCAAAGAAAATTGGAACTCGTTTGAGATGAAGGTTGAAGCAATCAAGCAAGGGAGGTCGAGCTTTCTTCCAGTACAACAGTGTATGGCTCTTATTTGATTAAAGGTAAAGGTTCCCTTGCTAGAAAGCCAGTCGAATCTGACTCTAGGTGTTATGTATTGACTTGAATGTAAATACTGACATGCGAATCGTCTCATTGAAACTCTATGTTAAGCTTCAGCCTGGGCTAGGATCCTAATGTAACCAATAGGAGTCCTAGCCCAGAGAGTGTCTACCAATCACGCTGTAAAGCGGGACCGCTTGTGATTGGGCATTATATCTTCAACCTCATAGGTTGTTATTTGTACAGGGGGTGTGGCTACACTAGCCGGGAATGTTTAAATACAGAGCAGCCAGTGCTTGTCCTTTGGCTCGAGTGGTTCGAATGATGGTTCTGGCTGGCGATCGTAACTAAGCTGAAGAATAAACCGCAATTCTTGCTGAATCACTCTCCGACTCTTTGTTAAGCGCACGACTTAACACTAGGGTTGCGGTGCTCAACTCCGTTTCAAAGCCGAAGAGCCAGCGCTGTCCGAAGACGTTTCCGTGGTCATGTGGCCGGCATGACTAAAAACCAAGGTGCACAGAACGCTGTTACCTTCCCACCGAAGTGGTACCTTTTTATCTACTTGCAATTTCTTGCTTTCGAACTGCTAGGTTGGCAGGAGCTGGAACTAGAGATGGGAGCTCACTCCATCATGCGGCACCCGGGTCTCGAACTGCTGAACTACTGACCTTCCACAGCCTGCAGTTCAGCGTCTTAACCACTTGAGCCACCGCAGCTCCTTCTTATTTGATTACACATGAGTATATTTTTGAAATTAAAAGATGGCAATTTTGGTTCAAAATATACTAAAAAAGCATGCGTGTTCTGCAAAACTGATACCATACACCTGAGCAGCAGCATGGGCCAGGAGGCGGTGGCAGGAGATTGCCCACCACAGAGGGTGAGGTGGCAAGGGTTGCCAGGTGCCCCCTGGCCACGGGAGGGGGATAAGGCGTAGGGTTCCCAAATCCAAGTTGGGAAACTCTGGAGATTTGGGAATGCAGATGAGCTGTAATTCCAGGGGATCCCCAGGTCCCACCTGGAGGCTGGCATCCATAATCTGGCCTATCGAGTCCAGCGTCCTGTTTTACACAGTGGCAACACAGATGTTCCTGGAAGGCCCACAAGCAGAGCATGGAGGTCAAAGCCTCCCCGTGTCATTGCTTTCACCAGTGCGTGGCATGCAGGGGTATACTTCTTCTGAACATGGAGGTACCCTATATAAATCAGGCTAACCCCTTTTAAAGCCACCTAAGTGCAAGTCCATCCTCTGCTAGTTACATTTTAGGAGCTGCGGTAGCTCAAGTGGTTAAGACGCTGAACTGCAGGCTGTGGAAGGTCAGTAGTTCAGCAGTTCAAGACCCGAGTTGCCGCATGACGGAGTGAGCTCCCATCTCTGGCCCCAGCTCCTGCCAACCTAGCAGTTCAAAAGCAAGAAATTGCAAGTAGATAAATAGGTACCACTTCAGTGGGAAGGTAACAACGTTCCGTGCACCTTGGTGTTTAGTCATGCCGGCTACATGACCACAGAAACTTCTTCGGACAGCGCTGGCTCTTTGGCTTTGAAACGGAGATGAGCACTGCAACCCTAGAGTCGGACTCGACTGGCTTTCGAGCAAGGGAACCTTTACCTTTAAGTGCATGGTCCTCACACCAATTACTCACATCATTTAATTACACACCGCGTGACTGCCCTGAATCTATTACCTGCCAGCTTCATTGGGTGCCGCTGAACTCTAGCATCTGGGAGAAGGGAGAGAGAATGTTCTCTGTATCCACCCACTCCGCCCTCTCCATAACTTTGCAAGCCTCCATAACGTCCCCTCCTCCTCTCCTAATCCTTTTCAGAAGGCACGCAGGGAACTGAGATGGCTTGCCCTCATTTCTCGGCCACACAATGGTGCCGCACCCTTGTTGCGTTTGCTGCCCATGACTTCATGCACCGCACGGCCTCCTGTCCCACACCCATGAGAAAGAGGGCCGGGGCAGCAAAGTGAATTCGAAACATACGCCGGTGCTCCCTTTGGGTTTCACAGCACGGGGCGGCATGCTTCAGTGCTGCAAGGAAAGTTGAAGCAGAAAGCAAGAAAGACAAAACCCGGCATTTGTTCCCATTTATCCCAGCAGCTGTGTCAGCACATAGGAGAGCTGTCTTACCCCCTTCCTCATAGAGGCAGGCTCAGCACAATGGAAAATACTAATGTTTTTGTAACGTTGGAGGGGAGGGGAGGGTCAGATCCCAAGACGGTAAGAAAATTACTTTCGGGGGGTGGGGAAGCATACTGATAAATTAGGGTTGTTGTTGTTGTTCAGTCGCACAGTCAAGTCCGACTCTTCGTGACCCCATGGACCAGATCATGCCAGGCCCTCCGGTCCTCTGCCGTCCTCTGAAGTTGGCTCAACTTCATGTTCGTTGCATCGATGACACTGTCTAACCATCTCATCCTTTGTCGTCCCCGTCTTCTTTGACCTTCAATCTTTCCCAGCATCAGGGTCTATGTAAATTAGGGTTATTAGGGTTAAATCAGAAAAATGGGGTGACATTAATAGGTTTGCCAACTTCCAGGTGCGGCCTGGAGAAATCCCAGAATTACAACTGATCTCCAGACTATACAAAATGGCTGCTTTAGAGGATGGACTCTGTAGCGTTACACTCTGCTGAGGTCCTTCCCCTCCCGATATCCATGCTTTGCCACCAAATCTCCAGAGCTGGCAACTCCGGGTGACAAATTCCTGATGGAACAGACCAGACTGACTGTAGGTGGAAGACTACAGTTTGGAACACTCCCTGATGTTAAAACAAAAGTAGAAACAGGGTGGCCTGCCAGCTCTGGATTGGGAAACACCTGCAGATAGGGTTGCCAAACCCCCCGGTTTGCCAGGGGTCCCCCGCTTTGGGGGGGCGGGCTCCTACCGACCCCCAACACCCCCAGCCACCCATCTCTCTCCCTTTAAGTGTGTGGAACCCGTGTTTCCTCCCAAGCCTGATCTCCGCAAGCTTGCAGGGAAATGCCAGCTTCGTGCTCTTAAAAGGGAAACGCGGCTGCTCTTAAAGGGGAAACGCCGGCTCCTGCATTTAAAAGGGAAACGCCAGCTCCTTTAAGTGCAGGGAACTGTCGTTTCTGGAGATCTGGCGCACGGGCAGGGGGCTGGCGGACATCCCCAACGTGACGTCCAGAGGTCATTTCGGGGGGAACGCGGGGGAACACAGTTCCCCCGGGTGAGGTGCAGGGGGCGGGGCACATGATGAAGCCCCGCCCCCTGCTTCCGGCCGCCCCGCTTCCGGCCCTCATTCAGCCAGGAGGAGGCAGGAGAAGAGGGAGGGTAAGTTGCTTCCTCCCCGCCTCTCCCCACCCCTGCCTTCCTGGGGCCAGGGAGGGCCTTGGCGGGGCTTCCTCGCACTTCCGCCGGCCTTGCAGGTCCACCGCCGGGCCCCTGATGTCAGGGGGTGTGGCATATGCTAATGAGTTATGCTAATGAGTTCCCCTAGCTCTTTTTCTACGAAATTGGAATGCCCCCAAAGTCCCCCGCTGGGGGTGGAAGATGGACTTGGCAACCCTACCTGCAGATTTTGGGGGTGGAGCCTTGGAGGGCGGGGTTTGGGTAAGGGGAGACTTCAGTGGGGTACAAGGCCACAGAGTCCACTCTCCAAAGTGGCTATTTCCTCCGGGGGGGGGGTTGATCTCTGTCTCCTGGAGATCAGTTGCAATCCCAGATCGCCAGCCACCACCTGGAGGTTGGCATCCTTGAGTAGAAAAAGAGCACCTCCGTCAAGGAGGGGAAGACAGAACTTTTTTCTCTTCCCAGCTTATTTTTCTGGTTTTTTAAAAAACACAAAGGAGCATTGGAAATTGGAATCCTCCCCATGCAATCTCAAGTGGTACAGTCCGTCCATTCTACCTCCTTAGGGATGTACCACCTCGTGCCCCTAGATTTGCAAAGTTTGGGCTGGAAAATCCCTGGAGATTTCAGGGGGTGGAGCCTATGTAAAACAGAACCTTTCTCTCTATCCAGCTTTTTTCCCCTCTCTTTTTTAACACAAAGGAACATTCTGGAAACTGGGAGATCTCTCTGGGCTCCACCTGGAGGCTGGCAAGTGTTTTCCTCTTGACATGTAAACTAGGCCTCAGATCAGGGCACTCTGACAAAATTAACTGTTGAAAGCATTCTGTCTTCTGCACTCTTCACAAATGTGCTCCTGAGGCAGCTTCCAACAATCCATTAGAACAATAACCCAGTCCTCAGAAGGCCATCCATCAAATCAGCAGTAAAACAGTCAATAGTATCAACACAGTGTATTCCAAAGCCAGTAAAACAACAGAAGGAAACAGCAGTTGAGGTTTTTTTGAGAGTACTGTGTGTGCAGGGCTATTTTTGGGCAGGAACGCACAGGAACAGAGTTCCGGCTGGCTTCAGAGTTGGCCACACCCACTGCAGCCAAAACCCCTGCGTGCATGACTACAGGGGGAAGGCCTGGAGAGTGACACCCCCCTGGTGACTCCCAAGGCGGGCGGGTCAGGGGGGTCCTGGAAGGATTGGGAAGGCATTTAAATATCTCCCCATGCTAGGCTTACCAAACGCCGGCGGGGGAAATCTATTTCCTGGCAGGATGCGTGCTGCGGGGGACGGCTGTGCGCGCTGCACCCGCCGTCGCCAGGATGTGACGCTCCGCGTTACTCTGGCAACGGGGCTGTTTGGGTCCCGTTGCCAGGGTAACGCGGAGGACTTCTGGCAACCCCTAGTGGGGTTTGGATGTTTCAGAGAGGTGGTTTTGATATTACGTGCCTCTGCGTCCCGGCCCTGGTATTCCTTGGAGGTCACCCTTCCAAGTACTTACCAGGGTCAGGTTGCCTGGGCTACCCAGGGCAGGGCAGGAAACAGCAGTTTTAAATAATCAGACGGAGACAAAAAAAAAAAATCATCCAAAAGCCTGATAAAGTGTTTCTAAAAACGTTTTCACATGGCATCTTAAACAGATCAAATTTGGCACCAGGCAAATACGGAGGGCTGCCAATCTCCACATGGCACCTAGAGATCTGCCCCATGCCTTCCCCTCTCCAGACGACAGAGATCAGTTCCCCAAGAGAAAAGGGCTGCTTTGGAGGGTGGATCTATTTTGTGCTTTTTATTTTTCTTTTCCTTAATTTCTCTATATTGTTATGTAAATATTACCAAATGTAGGTTTTACCCAAACAACACATCAAAGTGCTGGTTGACACTATGTTCAAACATTCAAACAGCACCTGGTCAGTTTCACAATCAGGAGTCCAATTTGTGAAACTGGCCAGGTGTGGTTTGAATGTTTGAACATAGTGTCAACCAGCACTTTGATGTGTTGTTTGTGTGAAACCTACGTTTGGTAATAACTTGACACCAGTCTTTATACAACAATATATGGGAAAAATTAAAAATAGAAATAAAAAGCACAAAATAGATCTACCTTAAGCATACATCTATTATACACAGTCTCATATACTTTTCCATATTATCCCACCTGCAGGTTGGCAACCCTTTTCCCCTGGGCTCCACCGCCACTCCAAAATCTCCAGGAACCTCCCAGCCCAGGATTGGAAACCCTAGGGAGCAGTACTAGTTTGGGTCTGCCCCAGCAAGAAAGCAGACAGTCTGAATGGTCGTTTTGCCTGGCCAAGTGGTTTATCATTACCTCTGGGGGAGGACAGAGTTCCCCCTTGTGAGGCCTGTCTGATGACAGTAGCCCAGCTGCGGCACCTGAAGTTCCCAGACCATTTTCAAAGGCAGACCCACACAGGGTACATCGCAGCGATCTAACCTGAATGGAACACTACTGTACCATCTTCATCTGGCCCTGGGAGGAAGAACGACAGCGCCAAGCGGAACAGATGGCACTGAGTGGATATAACAGCATTATACGCCATCTTTATGGAAGATCAATTCGGAACATCCAGAGCACTTAATAATAATAATGCCGTAATATTGTAGAATTTGTTTTAAATAGTTTTATGCGCTGGCTTATGCCTGATTGTGAGCCGCCCTGAGCCCGCGTTGTGGGGAGGGCAGGCTATAAATTGAACTTATAAATAAATAAAATGGGATCACAGCAATGATCACCCTTAGGGCTGCCAGTCTCCAGGTGGGGCCCGGAGATCTCCCACGATTACAATTGATCTCCAGAGAGTAGAGATCAGTTTCCCTGGAGAAAACGGCCGCTTTGATCTCCAGGTGACAGAATTCAGCTCCCCTGGAGAAAATCTGTGATATGAATTACTAGGACATTTAGTAAGGATCATATTATATTATAAAGAAAACTTTACAAAATTACAAGGAAAAGTCCATCATACCCAATGAGCACCCGGATATAAGCTCATTTCATCCCAATCTTCCTCAGGAGTCATGCCTGTTAGGGGCAAACCAATGCTTAACGTCTTCTTTATTCTCTGCAAATTATCCTGGGGAAAACCCATGGCATTTTAAATGAAAAGCAACATGAAGCTGAATAAAATAATATTTTTTAAAAAAAATTATTATTAATTTGTAAATTTTTAAATGTAATTATTTAATTTTTTTAGAACTTTACTTCTGGTTCCCCCCCGGAGAAAACGGCAGCTTTACAGGTGGACTGCATGGTTACGATACCAGCTGAGTTCCCTCCCCTCCCCAGGCTCCACCCCCCCCCAATCTCCAGGTATTTTTGAACCCAGAGTTGGCATCCCTAATCAACCCGGCCAGGTTACGCTTTTCAAGGAACAGTTGTAGCTGGCGTATTAGCCGAGGCTGCTTCCTATAGAGGAGACCTGAGCTTCCAGCCATAGGACAGGAGGCAGCAACACTCCCAAATTTATGAACCTGCTCCTTCAGCGGAAGTACAGCCCTCCCTCCTTCCCTATGCTTTAATGGCTGTTTTTGTCTTTTAGGTTTGCTTTAGATGATGCGGGGTTTGTTTGTTTGTTTTGTCTGAAGGGCTTTGAAAGCATTTTTTTTCCTTGTGTGTGGTTTTTAATTTGTTACCTGCCTTGGTTGCCCAGATGGGGGCAGAAGAGCGGGGTACAAATTTGGTAAATAAAACAAAATCAACCCGCTCCAGGTCAAGGCAACTCCGCAGTCCTCAAGCAGCTTTTTTCATTGACCCGACGACACCTCCGTCTAATCTGGACTGTGTTTCAGTTTATTAATCTTCATCGAGGGCATCCAATGAAGCTGATGGGCAGTAGGTTCAAGACAGACCAAAGGAAATACTACTTGACACAGGGGGTGAGTAAAATGCGGCATTTGCTGCCAGAGGACATAGTGATGGCCATGGGAATAAACGGCTTGAAAAGGGGACTAGATAGATCCATAGAGGATGTCTATCAATGGCTACTAGCCATGGGGATGGAGGGGAACCTCCACCTCCAGAGGCACTACGTCTCTGAATCCCAGAGCCAAGAGGCAACATCAGGGGAAGTTCTCAGCCTCTGTGACCTGTTACTGGCCCTCCAGAGGAACTGGTTGGCCACTGTGTGAGACAGGAGGCTGGACTAGATGGACCACTGGCCTGATCCAGCAGGGCTCTTCTTACGTTCTTATGAAGGCCTTGGCTTCTATGCCCTGTGGTTGGCCCTCCAGAGGAACTGGCTGGCCACTGGGTGAGACAGGAGGCTGGACTAGATGGACCACTGGCCTGATCCAGCAGGGCTCTTCTTACGTTCTTATGAAGGCCTTGGCTTCTATGCCCTGTGGTTGGCCCTCCAGAGGAACTGGCTGGCCACTGGGTGAGACAGGAGGCTGGACTAGATGGACCACTGGCCTGATCCAGCAGGGCTCTTCTTACGTTCTTATGAAGGCCTTGGCTTCTATGCCCTGTGGTTGGCCCTCCAGAGGAACTGGCTGGCCACTGGGTGAGACAGGAGGCTGGACTAGATGGACCACTGGCCTGATCCAGCAGGGCTCTTCTTACGTTCTTATGAAGGCCTTGGCTTCTATGCCCTGTGGTTGGCCCTCCAGAGGAACTGGTTGGCCACTGTGTGAGAGAAGATGCTGGACTAGAAGAACTACTGGCCTGACCCAGCAGGGCTCTTTGATGTTCTTATGCTCTTATCTTTCCAATTACCTTCTCCAGACATTTGTTCAAGGCTCCCACAGAATCAGCGGCCAGGGAGAAATAAAACTATCGCCACATGTTGGTTTTTGTTGTTGTTCAGTCGCACAGTCGAGTCCGACTCCTCGCGACCCCCTGGACCGCATCACGCCAGGCCCTCCTGCCTTCCGCCATCCTCCAGAGTTTCTGAATCACATATTGGTATCTCACTCTAAATCCCTCGATGCCTAATTCATTCTGGTGCAGATCCTGGTTGGGGGGGATTTAGAATCAGGTAGCAGCCCTCAAGACACACATCCTTCAGCGACTTCCTCCACATCATCTCTTTGGCATGGTTCCCTCTGCTATCAGCCACCACCTTAGGCAAAGAGGTAGGGTTACCTACCAGAGGTCCTCTTTTTAGAGGCCATGTCCTCTTTTTGTGTGTGTCTGTCCTCTTTTGGGCTCTTTTTAACAAAGTGATAAAGATGTCATCTTTTGGGGTCGGACGTTTAGGAATATTCCCAGTTAGTAGCAATTATCACACCTTAAATAGCAGGGTTATTTGAAACGAGATTTGTCACAGTGATCACTTGCTTGAAGTAGTCAGTCGGGAAATATGTCCCTTTTTTGCTTTTCAAAATATGGTAACCCTAAAAGAGGAGTTGTGAGGGTCGGAGGTGGCAAAGAATGTGAAGGTTTTTGCCCAAATACCAGAGCATCCCTACGTCGCCGGCAACATGATGATGTCATTTCCTGCCAGTAAGTCCCCCACAACCAGTGTTCCCTCTAAGCTGAGTTAGTGTGAGCTAGCTCACAGTTTTTCAGCTTCCAGCTCACAGATTTTTGTCTTCGCTCAGGAAGGATGACTCCGGGGCCAACTAACTTATGCAGTAGCCAAATTGCTCACTCACAAATTTCATGCCAGTAGCTCACAGAGTAGAATTTTTGTTCACAAGACTCCACAGCTTAGAGGGAACATTGCCCACAACCCCCTGCAGGTTGCCAGGGGGTACCTGGTAACCCTAATCCTGAACCAACTCTGCTGGGGTCCCCAACACAACTGAAGGTTCCTTGACTTCTTTCCCTTGAACACTCCTGCTCCACCCTGGGGCTGTCATTGCACTCCGTGGTCTCTCATTCCACCCCCAGAGTAGTGTATTTGGGCCCAGAGACCCTAATGCATACAAAGACCATAACACAATATTGCAGAGACAATGCAGTACATAGTAGCTTGTATACTTTTTTAACGGTAGGTAAATTAAAACCTTTAAAATGGGTTGGTACGTCTATATTTACTAATAATAGTACAAGCTTCCTGTTAAGTCGTGTGCTTAACAAAGAGTCGGAGAGTGATTCAGCAAGAATTGCGGTTTATTCTTCAGCTTAGTTACGATCGCCAGCCAGAACCATCATTCGAACCACTCGAGCCGAAGGACAAGCACTGGCTGCTCTGTATTTAAACATTCCCGGCTAGTGTAGCCACACCCCCTGTACAAATAACAACCTATGAGGTTGAAGATATAATGCCCAATCACAAGCGGTCCCGCTTTACAGCGTGATTGGTAGACACTCTCTGGGCTAGGGCTCCTATTGGTTACATTAGGATCCTAGCCCAGGATGAAGCTCAACATGGCGTTTCAATCAGTCGATTCACACATCAGTATTTACACAGTTCACATAGCAGTTATATACAATGCAATACATAACAAATCCCTCCCCCCTAAGCAAAAACATTTAGGAACAATCGTAATCGCTTAAGTAGGTGGGCACTCTGCG